TCTAGAGTCTGAATTTATTTTTTTAATATATTTTTATTGATTTCAGAGAGTAAGGGAGAGAGACAGATGGGAACATCAATGATGAGACAGAATCACTGACCGGATGCCTCCTACACGCCTCTAACTGGGGATCAAGTCCACAACCCAGACATGTGCCCTTGACTGGAATCAAACCTGGGACCCCTCAGTCTGCAGGCCGACATTCTATCCACTGAGCCAAACCAGCTTGGCCAGAGTCTGAATTTTTAAGGAGAGAATGCATGTGGGCACAATTCCTTGGTACACCAAAAAACCACTTAAGTGTAATATATTTTTAAAGCTACTGTCAGTCGTATTTTTAAAACCATACATGTCTGTGTTCAATAAGATGACATTTGTCATACTCTAAAAATCAAAATAAAGTGCAGGGACAGTTTTCTAAATACCTGAGACAGTAATTCCACAAGTTCCTCAAGCAGAGCCCGATGAAAGCTGGTTTCCGGCACAGTGCACCACCTCACCTGACGGACACAGAATGTCCTGGAGGAAGGACATAACCCCACATTGTCTTTCTAGCAGGACTTCAAAAAGCAACTGGGTGAACAGGAAAACTCCACCAGCCCAGCCTTCCTGTTGTTCTCCCTGGAAAAGGCCCTAGACATGATTTTCACCAACGCCAACTTCAATTAAACAACACGTGAAAACACGCGACTGGAACTGAGAGGCCTGGCCAGGGCCGTAACGTACCTGGAATTTTCTCTCAGTGCTCAAGGTATCTTCTAGGCGATGGTCTTTATGCTACAAGGACTCACCGTTTCATCTTATCATTCCCCTATTCTGTCCTGTTCCTGTCTTTCTTGATTTTTATTTTGTCTTCCTGATCTTCCCCTTCATTACCCTTTTCCCTATTTTCTCACAAAACCACCGCTGCAACCCTGGCTTACAAACCCTGGAAAACTGCTCCAAAGCCTCTGGATTAAAAACAACCCCAGCACCTTAAACACATAAAAAGATGTTCAGCTTCACTTGTCAACAGGAAAGTGCAAATTTTAAATCACGAAGATACCATTTCACGCCCATGAGACTGGCAAAACCTCAAGTGTGACCACGTTGGGTGTGTCTGTAAGCCTGTGGAGCAACTGGAACTCCCCACCGCTGCTGGGTGCAATGCAAATTGGCACAACTGCTTCAGAGAGCAAGCTGGCAATATGTGAGGGGCAAAGATGCCCGGCTCCTGTGACCCAGCGATTTCCCTTTTAGGTAGAGACCACAGACAAACTCTAAACACATGCACGGGGAGACAAGTTCAAAACTGTTCATCGCTCTAAAGGGCACACACAAGAAACTGTACACCCAAATGCTGATCAACAATAAAATATAATGCAGCATGTTCAGGAAATGTAATATTATACAGCAGTTAAAACAGCCTAGAATTCGTGTATCCTTTTTAAAAATACATTATTATTGATTTCAGAGATGAAGAAAAGGGAGAGAGAGAAACATCAATGATGAGAATCATTGATCAGCTACCTCCTACACGCCCCAACCTGGGGATCGAGCCCACAACCCAGGCGTGTGCCCTGACCAGGAATTGAACCGTAACCTCCTGGTTCATAGGATGATGCTCAACTAATGAGCTACACTGGCTGGATGAAATCATGTGCCTTAATGGATAAATCTTAACATTGTAATGTAAACAAAAGCAAACTGAGAAGTTGTTCAGTATTGCAGCTTGTTTAAAACATGAGGAAACTACTATCTGGTTTATGAACACATACAGATCCAGTAAAAGTATAAAAACACATGGTGAGTACCAAATTCAGAACTGTGGTCACTGTCTGAAGGGAAGGGGAATAAGGTGGGGAAAGGTTCACTCGTACTCATAATATTTTTTATTTCTTCACGTGGAGGTAGATACACGGGTACTCACTCTGTTATTCTCCATATTTCTCCGTACGCCTGAAATTTACCACCAGAAAAAGAGTCCCAAGAAAAATAGTCCCAAACCTGAGCTACTTTAAAGCATTTGCAGATTCTGATAGCAATATCAGAATTTGTAGGTTGGACCTACAAGTGGAAAGTGAAGCATTAGGAACCAACAGGGTTTCCTCTGCACACACTCCATCCATAGCAAATAATCCTCGGAATTATAGTGAAATTCCAGGCAGAGGACTTAAGACATCCCCAAAATTCTAAGCAGCAATCCCAGAACACAAACCTTCCAAAATGTTGGCTGAGGTTGGTTGCTCATATAGAATTTATTTGCCTCAAGAAAGTCTTTACTGGTTCATTTTCTGTGGCCTTCTCTCTTAAAAGATCAGCAAGGCCTTTCAAACCCTTAGGTGAACATTTGGTTTCAGCACAACTGAAGGTTTATTATGTAAAAGTGCATTAAAACATTTAGGCCAGAAGGGTTAACTAGACTAAAAGGCACCATCTTTTACTGCTCTTTCAGTCAGTTTGCCTTGGGCTGGCTCCATGGGTAGCCTAGAGAGAAAACCAAGATATACCTTTCTGATGGTGCCACAAAACTACACATCATCTTTTTTTTTTTTAATATATTTTTATTGATTTCAGAGAGGAAGGGAGAGGAAAAGAGAATCGTGGTTCAGCTGCCTCCTGCACTACTGGGGATCGAGCCTAGCCATGTGCTCTTGACCAGAATGGAACCTAGGACCCTTCAGTCCACAGGCCAACACTCTATCCACTGAGCCGTACTGGCTAGGGCTAAACACCATCTTAAAACCTCGACTCAGTCAAACTAAATAAGACCAGGCTGGGGGGAAGGAAGGGGAGAACATATGAACAAGAAATTTTTCTCTTAATTGCTAAGAGAATCAAAATGGAAAAGTACTTTTAATACAACCCCAACATACCAAAATTCCACATTAATAAAAAATAGGTTGTACTGTAGGGGTGAACTGGAACACAAAGTTGATTTCCAGCAAATGATAATCTTGATTTCTAACTAAATATTGAGATTCAACTTTGTTTGCATCGTAGAATTCCAAGAAAAAAACTAAAAAATAAGTAGAATTAATTGTTTGGACCTGACCCAACAGAAGTGCCTACTTTAGATCCAAGAGGCCAGAACAGGATTTTCCTTTAAGTATTAACCCATTTTACCCAGCAATTTCTAAAAGCTGACAACTATCAGAGAAGACCCTCATACGAGATTGTAACTAACAGCACCCAGCTGATAAGTCTCCAATTATCTCTGATAATTGGAAGCATGAGAAACAGAGGAAGAGCCAAGCTGTCTCTTCTCCCAAATTATGTGATTTTTAATGTTTTTTAACAATGATTCTTCTAATGATTCTCAAAATACGTGCCTCAGGTCAGTAACTGACTTATCAAAATAAAATGATCTCTATAAAAAACCCGCTAGCTTTGTTTCAAATTTTTACTAATTGTACTTTTCCTTCTTATCAAGGTGATGTCACTAATTTAAAAGAATTCAAATCTGGCACTCACAAAGGTGTTCACTAATATACTGGGGATGTTCATGGATGCTAAAACGCCAACATCTGGCAAATTCAACACAGTTTAAACAAGGTAGTTGAGTACTCAGGTAGTTACTAACCAATTAAGAGACGTAGATTTTTATAAAGACTCTAAGAGACACTACTCACTAAAGAAGCTTTTGACAACAACAACAACAACAACAACAACAACAAAAATCAGTTTTAAAAGCTGAGAAAAACTAAGGTTGCAGAAAATGCAATTTGTTCAAAGGCACCATTAGACTGAGGCTTAGCTGGAGGGGCACTCAGTGGTCTAAATCCCAGTTCTAATTACAGTTACATTGACCATAATCACATCTTCACATAAAAAACAGTCCAACTATGATCAAATGCAAATATACTAAAGAAACATCCTATTGTGTTCATCAGTCTTTCCTCTGTAGTGCCGCTGAGATTCTATTCAACCTTTTCGCACGGATACACTAAAATTTTCATCTCTATCAATGTTATGCCCACAAGATAAGAAACCCCTTCGCTCCTTGGAGATAAGAACTCACCTCCTTCATTTATTTAGCACCTGCACATAGTACGTGCCAACACGGACCCAGCAGGTCCTCAGCGAATGGCCATTTATGGAAACAGAAATGTTATCTCCTTTCCACATGACATTTCCTCTGTGGTGCATCTCACAGCACCATTAACAAGTAAAATTAAGATGAGATGAGTTAGGCCAATTTGCATCAGTCCAAGGCGAATTTCTAGAGGGCACTTTTGTTGTCTCTTAATACATGCTTCCTCTTTAGGAAATTCCTCAAGTTCTTCAAACAGAAAATGGACCCCCAACAAAAAAGCCTTCCATTTGTAGGGCCAAAAGAATACATAGGAAGTTAAGTCCATTGGTCTGGACAAAAATCAGAGGATTATCAACAGGGGAGATTTCCTCATACTTGGTAGTAGCCAGAGCATTTTTAAAATTACAACACACCAGCCAAACAAGCTTTATTATCTGTGACCCAGACACGCTGTGTGGCTAAGCTGACAAGCCCTGAGCAAGTTGATCAAGAATCACTGTGGCAGGAATTCACATGGAAGTAAAATTAAAACAAATGGGAACTAGCATTAAATTTCCAGTGCACAGTAAGACTTCAGTGGGGAAGGGGACAGTGGAGGGATGTGAATATTTCCCAAGGCCCCTGTATCTAAAACTGGCACAGGAAGTTTGAGAAGGGGAAAGAAAAGAAAAAAAAAAAAGGTGTTTATTTCTCAATCACATGAAGGATTTGGTACAAGTTTTGTTTCCGCTCTGCTGGGTCCTTTCTTGTCTGGTGACAAAATAAATCCACTTTTCAATACTAGGTCTTGGTTCGTTCAAGTCCTGCCTAGAAGGATGACATGAACACCCTTTCTGGAAAAACATCAACGTGTTTAAAAGGCAATCTTCACTTGCTCTCTCTACCACTACTCCAACCAGTTCCCACCAAACAGGGTTAAAAGGAAGGACCAATAGGAGCCCCAGAGAGAAGCCGAACAGCGAGAAGAGACCCCCAGAAAACCTACCTGGAAGCAATTCATCGCCGAGAGACGAGTCTAAGGAGGAGTCCAATGAAAATGTGTGTTAGATCAGGTGGAGGCAGCCGTCTCCTCAGCACCAAGCCTTCTCTGTGGGAAGTGAGGCTGGGAGGGACAGGGTGACCCAAGCAGCCTTTTATAAGGGGCGGGGTTAAGGATTCCCATCCCAGCCCTAGTACACTGCCTTTCAGCTTGCTACATAAATGAACACGTGAGCTGTTTACAGTAGTGGCTCCTTCCATCAGGTCCAAGGAGGCCTAATCTCCTTTGTCCTTGAAACAACTGAAGGTGACATGAGCCCATACACCGAGTACCTCGCCTCTAAGTACTAGGCCCAGTAACTCACTTAATGCAACTGTCCTAGGAGATGGGCACCGCTATCATCCCGTTTCTCCAGATAAGGAAAGACAAAGCGCAACCTGTTCAAGGACAAAAAGCTGGACGGTGTTGGATCCAGGACTTGAACCCAGGAAGTCTAACGTGAGAGCACAAACGCTTCCTCCCTTGCTCGAGACACAGTGTCCAAAGAGGAACAGAAAACTCCCAACGCACCAAGTACTGGCTCCTCACCTCCCCGGGGCGATGACCCCAAAGGTGGCCCTGCTTTAAAGATTCCACACGAGGTTGTCAACTCTCCAGGCACGGCTCTAGCCTGCTCCTCTCATGCCCTCCCTGCGGCCCGCCTCCCTGGCTGGGTTTCACTGGAAACAGGTAGTGACATTCTGCCCTGCAGTGCCAAGAAGCCCCAGCTGCCTGAGGGTGGGGGGGGGAAAAAAAAAGAAAAAAAAAAGCTGGAGGCTGGCTTCCTCTTGGGACACACTAGCTCTCGGGTTCCCAAGCTGCTTCAGTACAGAGAGGTGTCACCACACACACGCAGGACAGGAGCACGGCCCAGGGCTGGGGCTGCACCTGCCACACACACACACACACACACACACACACACACCCGCAGGCCTGAGGCCACCCCAGCGAGCCTGAAAGAAGAGCACTGGAGAGCTGCTCCGGTTTCACAGGTCCCCTCGGAGCTCGGCTCGGCTTAGGGACACCGGGCAGACTGGCATCACCTCCTGCTGCACCGAGCGACACTAATGCCGGAGGCCGTCCCTGCGTGGAGGAGGAAGAAGAGGAGAGGACACCGAGATGCTCTGGGAGCCACCCACCTCCTCCCGCTGGCCCTGCGCCAAGCCCTTGGCAAATGCGGGGGGGGGGGGGGGGGGGGGGGGGGGGGGGCCGCATTTGTTCTGCTGACCAGCGGCGGTGACCGCATCCAACGGTGCTGGAAACCGAAGCCAGCACCAGTGGGTCTCAATGCCACTCCTGAGCTGCCACATGGCTCCTCAGTGCTCCTCTGCCATGTGTTAATCTTGCAACAAAACGTGGGACAGAAGATGTAAAAGGCTGCGCGATGGGGGAAGGGCAGTCAGATCACCTTACCTTCCAGACTTCTCCATCAAGCCTCCTCAGATCCCCTACTGTAGGGGCCTGTATTACTAGCCTGTATCACAAGGGAGGTGTTCCCCACCTGGCATTAAAAAGAGCACGGGTTCCAGCCGGAGATAGGGACGCTTTGATGGTGGTATGTTGGGGGGGGGGGGGGGATACCCTTCCTTAGAAGGAAGGCAAGGCACACACTCTCTCACCCTGCACAAAAGGGCAATGTCTTACTCCAGAGAGCAAACTGTGCACCCTAGTGGGGGGGGGGGGGGGGGGGGGGGAGAGGAGGGACAGCAGGGTGCACCCTGAGGACCCAAGGGCTAGAAGCTGCTCCTGCAGGAAAGCAAGATAACTGAAAGGCAAGGGGAAGCAATGGGAGACACCCAAGTTCAAGTCAGCAACCACCACACCAGGGAACCTGTCCCCATCAGAGCCTAGTGATGTCCCCTTGCTGGGTCCACGCCCACACCAGCCTCCCCTGGGTCTGCGGCGCATCCGGCAGGATAACCCTGAGGACCTCCCCTCGCCCGGCCCGTCCTCCCCCCACAGGCCTTCCGTGTTACTGCACAGAGCCTTGGGCCCCTTTCACAGAAGGGGAAACTGAGGCTTTCCCAAACCAGGTGGAAGTTCACTTCCCTGAACACATTTTTGCACTCTTTTTTTTTTTTTTTTTTTTTTACAGCTCGATGACATTTACAGCACAAATGCCTCCAGATAACACCGACTGCCTTTGCAAAGTGAATTTGAAATAACAGTTTAAGGAGTGAACTCAAAATGAGAGGAGGGCGGTCAGGGAGGCTGCCGGGAGGGCTTCTTCTACCTCAAGGGCAGGATTATACCCGCCGCCCCCACCCCCCATCCGCTTGTCCCCCCAAACCCTTCCCCCGGGACGTCCGGGTTCGGCCTGCCCCCCACACACACACCTCCCCCAGGCAATGCCACCGCAACCCGAGGGCGGAGGCACCGGCGCGGCCAGGGGCCGGCGGGCGGGCGGGCGGGCTCCCGGGTCCCCAGGCAGAGAGGGGGGCCGAGGGCTGGGGACCCCTCCCCGGGGCTCCAGGGGCCGCGGCGGCCGACCCGCCCAGCCCGGAGCCGGCAACTTGCAGCGGCGCCGCGGCCCCGCCGCCCTCGCCCCCACCCCCACCCACACCCACACCCGCCGCCGCCGGGGAGCGTGCGGCTCGGGTTTCCCTTTCTTCGCGGCCCGCGCCTCGGGCGCGACCCCCCCGGCGGCGGCGGCGGCGGCGGCGGCGGGGGCGGCGGCCACTCACCATATTACAGATGGAGGCGATGTTTCGGACAGTCATTAGTCTAAAGGTTGCAGCGATCCCGCACCGCCATCTTTACGAGGTGAAAACAGGACTGTCCATGGTGGAGCGCCTGCAGGGAGGCCGGGCGGCGGGCGGCGGGCGGCGGCAGCGGCCTGGGGTCCGGCTTTCAGTTTGGCTGGAGAGGAGGCCGGGAGGGAGGTGGGAGGGAGGGAGGAGGCGGGGGCAGGGGCGGGGCCCGGGGGCGGGGCCAGAGCGGAGGGCGGGGATTGGCGGAGCGGAGGGCGGGGACTGGCGGAGCGGAGGGCGGGGATTGGCAGAGCGGGGAAGCCTGGGCTGCGGGCGGCGGCGCGGGAGGAAGGGCGGCCCGAGCGCCGCGTGCTCCCCGCGCTGTGTGCCCCCGCCGTGCGCCCGGCTCGGGCTCGGCCCCGCGGCCCTCCTGCGCTCGCCCGCCCGCGCCCCGGCTCCGGGCTCGGCCTTTTTCTTTTCCGTTTTATTTCCTGCTTCCGTGTGTGTGGGCTGCAACGCGGGGGCAGGCTCGCGGGGCTGCGGCAACCGCACCGCGCGGGTCCCTGGGCAGACCCAGATGCGGCGGCGGCGGCGGCGGCCTCCTCGGGGCTCTTGGGGGGGCGCCGTGGGGAACCCGGGGACAGCGCTGGGCACCGCCCCGCGGAAGGTCCCACCTCCGCCCGTCCGCAGCTGAGGCTGGGGCGGGGCGGGGGCGGGGGCGGGGGTGCGCCTGTCCCGGGCCCCGACGCCGCGAGGTGGGGGGGGGGGGGGGGGGCGGCAAGGACACGGGCCCTTTTCCGCCTTCACTTTCTCTCTCCTGCCTCTCGGCTCCCGGTAACCCTGGGTCTGCATAGTGTGTCCGGTAGAGAACGAGGAGGGGTGGGGGTGACTGAGGCCAACGTTTACTTTTTCCCTTGGGGCGGCAGCCAGATGGCACCGGCGGGGCCCCAGGAGTAAATGGGGTCAGGACGTGGGAGGGTCCGAAAGCCCTTGCTTGCGCGGAATCCGGGTCCGGGCGGAGGCCGGAGCGACGCGCTCTGGCCGGCGTGGTGTTAGCAGGTGGAAGGACAAGTCTCCGTTCTGGGCAGGACATTGTTTATAAGGAGCAATGTGAGTCCAAAAAGAAGGAGAACCAAAGGAACGCCCTGAAGGAAGATCACACCGCTCTCTGGGCACCGTCTCTCTAGGTGTTGAGATTGGAGCTGTATTTGGCTTAGACACACTTCCTGCCCACAAAGGTCGTGGCTTCTGACTCAAAGGAGCAAATCTGCACCGCTTAGCAGAGATGTTCGCGGGAAGGGTAGGAGCCCATGTTCAAACGTGTGAAACGAGTCTGCATAGCAGGTAGCAGCAATTCAATGTTTTCGGCAAAAAAGTTGCACAGGTGGAAAATACGTGGTAATTCTTAAACCAATCCATTTCATGACAATTGAGAAGTTAATATCATTGAAGATAGTTTTTATCTAACCGAGGGGAAAATGTCACGCTTCCAATTCTCCATGATCTATTTAATGTTACACACCAAGATTTGAGAACCATTGATTTCTAATAGTCCAAGGACCTGGGTGGAAATTAAAAGACAACTGCTGGCTAAAGTTTTGTTAGGTCATATAGGCTCCATATATTTTAATGGATTTAAGGAGTAAATTCCCGCTTGTGGTAAGCCACTCTGCCTACATTGTATTTCCAAACAGATTCCTATTATGGTGATTGCTAACTTCGATTTCTTATTGTGAGTCATGATGTTTTTCCATGATCTTCAACCACCACCATAAGTGTCGGTAATAGAAACTACTATTACCAACTTTTGCAGATCAGTAAAATAAGGCTGGGTCATGTTACCCAGATATTACAAAGGAAGCTGGTGCCTTAACCCGGCTGACACCTTGGAAGAAGAAGAAAAGCAGAACACCCAAACAATAGCCAGTTGGGTAACTGAGGCCTAGAGAGGCTTAAAGACTTGAGAAGAGTCACAAAACCAGTTCAGGAGCATCCTCAAGGTGAACACTCAAGCCCTGGGACTCGATTTCACAGGCATTCCACCATAAATGCATTAATCCAAAGCCTTCAATGAAATGGACGTCTTATACCAAAACAGGGTTCAGTATTTCTGCTGGCAATGGACTGCAAAGTCCACAGGACTGAAACACCATTGGCATAATGAAAACTGAACATCATCTAATTCTGAGCAGCAGATCCGCAACTTAAAAGGATCTTTTTTTTTAACAGCACAAAGCCTAGAACTGAAGTGGTCAACATAGACCAACATCCAAATTGAAACTCAGGCAGTGAATTACATACACAACAAATTAATTGAACACAGCAGATCTTGTCAGGCTTCTGAATAATTAAATATACTTTTACACCACTACCAGGTTGGTATTCACAGATGTAAACTGGAAAAGGCATCAGTGGAAGAAGAATTATCATAAATTTAGCTTTACTCAGAAAAGAAACATTATTTGCAAGAGCTAAAAATCATGAGAATGTTGCCAAGCTAATGAGAGAACTTAGAGGGAAAGTATTTTTCATGTATAGGAACTAGCCAGTGTGAAAGTATACAGTTAGTACTGGGAAAGCAGGAAATGGAAGGATGGACTGTAGGCTAGCACTAAATGGCCTAAATCAGTGGTTGGCAAACTCATAAGTCCACAGAGCCAAATATCAACAGTACAACGATTGAAATTTCTTTTGAGAGCCAAATTTTTTAAACTTAAGTTTCTTCTAACGCCACTTCTTCAAAATAGACTCGCCCAGGCCATAGTATTTTGTGGAAGAGCCACACTCAAGGGGCCAAAGAGCCACATATGGCTTGCAAGCCGAAGTTTGTGGACCACTGGCCTAAATGAATTTGAGGGAGGCAGTCACTCCAGGTAGTCTGCCACTCAAAAGGTGGTCCATGAGCTGGGACCGGTTTGGCTCAGTGGATAGAGCGTTGGCCTGCGGACTGAAAGGTCCCGGGTTCGATTCCAGTCAAGGGCATGTACCTTGGTTGCGGGCACATCCCCAGTAGGGTGTGTGCAAGAGGCAGCTGATCGATGACTCTCTCTCATCGATGTTTCTAACTCTCTATCCCTTTCTCTTCCTCTCTGTGAAAAATCAATAAAATATAAATTAAAAAAAAAAAAGGTGGTCCATGCACCAGCAGCATTGGCCTCACCAAGGAGCCTGTTAGAAGAGCAGATGTGCCCACTTCAGACCTGCCAAAGGAGAATTTGCATATAAAACCTGAGGAGCACTGTTCCAGCCAAGCACTTGTGGTGGCATTCTCTGTGTTTCCCTGCCTGCCTCCCAGATTCTGCTTTGGGGATCTTATTTTGGCTCATTCTCAGAACCTAAAGTTCAGGTGCATCTGACTCTGCCCACCTGGCTCCAGAGTAAGGCCAATGATCCACGCTGAGCCAAGGAGAGTCAGACCTGGGTGTTTTGGGCAAGGAAGTACACCGCTTCCTGAGTTTGCTGAGCTGAGTGGATAAAATCTAGAGCTACCATATTTCCACTGCCTGAGCATGAAGCCAACATAGAAAAATGAAGCTAACAATGGAATACATCCACTTGCCGCTGTAGTCTTTAGCGTCTTTTTCTTTAGCCAATTCAAATTGAGTTATCTGTTGTTCACCACTGGAAGAATCCTAATAACCAGTGTCCCTGTTCCCCAAAATTCATTAGGTTCATTCCAAATTCATGATGTAAACGAATCGCGGGGGGAGAGGAGGAGCGGGGATTCTTCTTCCTCCAGATCTGTCTCTTCCTTGAAGCCTTTCCAGGTTGCTCTCCCCTACCACCACCACCACCACCAGTGAACTCCCATATCCTGGTGGTTCCATACTCTCCCTTGTGTTGTTACCAGTTTCCTGTCTGGCTCGCTCCTACTTCCCCTCTTTGCTTAGTTAACACCACACTCAGCCTTCCAATGATGCAAGACAAGAAGAGATGCCCTTGTTGTATGTTCTTATAGAACCATTCATCTTCCCTTCATAGACCTTATATTTATAAACTAGAGGCCCAGTGCATGACATTCATGCAGTGGGGGGTGGTCCCTCAGCCCAGCCTGCACCCTCTTGCAGTCCAGGACCTCTCAGGGGATGTCGGCCTGCCGGCAGTCAGACATCCCTCTCGCAATCCTGGGCTCTCACAGTCTGGTACCCCTCGCTCCTTACTGCCTGCCTGCAGTGGAGGTGGGAGAGGCTCCCATCACTGCTGCACTCACCAGCCATGAGCCCGGCTTCTGGCTGAGCAGTGCTCCCCCTGTGGGAGCACACTGACCACCAGGGGCAGCTCCTGCGTTGAGTATCTGCCCCCCTAGTGGTCAGTGCACATCATAGCAACCTGGTCATTCGGCCAGTCATTTGGCCGTTTCTTGATTTGCATATTAGGGTTTTATTATATAGGATGTTTATGCTATATGGCACATGTCATAGAGGCAATAGAGTGGGTGGTTAAAAATGAACTCTGGATGCAGACTGCCTGTCTAGATTATGACCTCAAGCAAATTTAACCCCCCTATGCCATAATTTCTTTCTTTCTTTTTTAATACATTTTATTGATTTTTTACAGAGAGGACGGGAGAGGGATAGAAACAATGATGAGAGAGAAACATAAATCAGCTTCCTCCTGCACAACCCCCACTGGGGATGTGCCCGCAACCAAGGTACGTGCCCTTGACCAGAATCGAACCTGGGACCTTTCAATCCACAAGCCAATACTCTATCCACTGAGCCAAACCAGTTAGGGCTGCCACAATTTTTCTGTCTATAAAATGAAGATAAAAAGAGTACCCATCTGAGATTATGGTTGCATTAGTATATATAAAATACTAAAAATATGCATGGCTCATATTAACCACTATATGTGATAGCTGGTCTTATTGTGCATGTGACTTTTAGATTAATGTTTATTTCCCAACCCTCATCAGACATGAAGAGACAAGTTTTACTCATTTGACACATAAAGAAAAACACAGTGCCTTGTCCATAACAGGAGCCAAGAAATCAAACATTAAATATCTGGACAACTGCCTCTCTCCAAGTGGCCTGGAAGCTCCTGGGGCAAAGGAACCTTGTCTAGTGAACTTGTTAAAATCTCACGTGGTCTCAGGCACGGTACCTGGCATATCCAGTCCTTCCCCTTTTTCCTCATTGCCAAAGAGTTTATTGCAGCTGATTTGATACGAAAATGTTAGTGGGGGAAATAAAATGTTCTG